CATGGACACGTGACCTAGAGTTTAAAATGCATTGTTAAATGTGCAGATTTTAATTAAAACAGAAACAATCCCAAAACAAGTCCACACCCTAACTAGGAACACAATAACCAATCAAAAGAGCACACCCTTTGTACTTCAGTGGTCACAACTGGCAGGGGATAACTGGAGAGGGAGGTCCTCGTAAAGGTCCAGGCCATACTTTTAAAAATCCTCAAAAGATGAAGAAGCCCTAAAACACCCAACTCCAGTTTTATTCCTCTGCCTTGAAATTTGGCCCCGGATTATCCGCACTGCCTGAGCCAAAACCTTATTAAGCCGATCTGCCTTGATCAACAGTGTAATCCTAGGCTGGTCTACTTAGAAGTCAGACCCACTGAATCAAATGGGCTCCCGGCTTCCAAGCTAGGCCTCTTGGATTGCACTGGGGAAGATGGTGAATTCCTTGTACTGCCATTCAAAGATCTTGTTTTACTTGGACTTCAAGGAAATAGTTTTCTCTTTTACTTTAAAGAGAGGCATGTTTGAGAAAATAAGCACAAAGGGGATCTTTCTTTCAAGAAGGTGAACAGAAGGAAATATTTTCGGCTCTTTCCCCACCCCGAAAAAAATCAGCATGGCCCTTACATCTCATGCACTGTACACTGGAAACCGTTTGCCCCCCCCCCTTCTTTCTTCCTACCTGAGTTTCCGTGAGGCTGAGGCTGTGGGCCAGTTGCTTTCTTTCCGCCCCGACCACGTAGTGGTTTTTTTCAAAAGCGTGTTCCAACCTCAGTAACTGGGATGGAGAAAAAGCGGTGCGGATCCGTTTCGGTTTCCGGGCCAGTGCGTTGTGCAAGAGGAAACTCTCCGGGCTGGTTTCATTACCTGGATAACCAGAAGAAGAAGAAGAAAAACGTGAAGGCGCCAAAAAGAAAAAGAAAAAAATCAGGAACCAACCAAGCCCAGCTAAATACGGTGCTTCTCTTTCTCCAGATGGCAAATAAAACTCCTTCTTTATTTTGGTTTGTTACTTCCAATTCTCCCTCAAAGGTGGAATTAACTGCCCCCCTCTTTTCTAGTACTTACCTCCAGAAAGGAAACCAGAGAGGGAGATGAAGCTGAGGGTATATTAATTGGCCATTTGATATTCTTTTGTAGAAGGTAAGATGAGGTGTAAGAGCGCTTTGAAAGCATCTAATGAGAATTAAGGGGAGCGGGCACTAACAAAACAAAGTAAATTATTTCTTCTATGGGTCACCCTTCTCCACATTCTTTCTCCGGGAAAGGTGCAAAACAGAATCTTTCAGGAGATCCAATTTTCTGAATAGATCCCCCACCCGGATCCACTCTAAACTCCCACTTTATTCTCTCGGCGTCACGAACCACAGCGCTCTTCCTTCCTCCTCCTCCTCCTCCTCCTCCTCCTCCTCCTCTCCTTGCTAAGCACTTTTGTTTATTTTGAAAACTCTCTTTGTCAGTTCCCTACTAAGATAAGTGGGTAGAGTTACTGCCCTTGCCACTATCCGTTTTGAAAAACGGGGTCGGACCAGTACCGCCCTTGCCAAAGTTGGCCTTACGAAACCCAGAGTCCTCCCATGCCTCTCTCCCCTTCTACAGAATGCAAGCAAGCAAACGGCGCAGCGGGGAATCGTACCTTAAAAATAAGTCGCACTGAATTCATTGGGCCTTTGTCCTATCCTAAAACAAAAACGCGGCTGTTTTTTCTTTCCGTGACACGCACGCGCACACATTCAGCGCTGCATTCCCCCATTGCAAAAAACACAAAAACACACAAAAAACCCCGTTTTTAGTAAAGGCTTGAAAAATGGTATCCCCAATCGCCTGCCTATTTTGTTCTATTGATTTCTCCGCCTTAGTATTTCGCTCCTTTTTTTTTTTTTCCCGGCGAAGCCGATGCCCGAGTCTAGCGAGCGCCACAACCCACAGCCAAACCCTTCTTCCTTTCCGCTGGCGCTTTTCAACAACCCGAACACAACGGAGCGCGGATTACGGAGTGAGCGAAATCCTTAATTTTCCACCCAGAGTTTAGTCCCATAATAATCACCCGCTTGCTACCAGTTCTCTTCCTTCTGGGGGAATCGCTCCAACCCGAGAGTAGCGCCAGTGTGGATTCGACCTTTCTTCTCCACACACCCCAAATAGGGTCTCCCATAGCGAATTTGGCGGATGGCCTTTATTTGCTTGTTTCTTTGTTGGGCGGGGGAGAAGGGAAGCTTTATAAAATAACTGAAGTGCAAATGTATACTTTTCCAAGGCGTGAGTTACAACTACACCCAGAATGTGTGTGTGTGTGAGAGAGAGAGAGGAGAGCAGGAGTGCACGTATAGCAGGACGGATGCCTTACAGGCATAGGCAGCGGGTGCAGATCTCTTAGACTGATTGCTCCTCTTCTCTCCTCCCCTCCATTTCAGCCTTCAAAAGTCTTAATCACTGAGCCTCCTCTTCTCTCTCTCTCTCTCTCTCTCACACACACACGAAACTACCCTCTCTCTTTTTAGCTCTCTGGCTGTATCACCTGCCGGGGGTCCTTTCACCCACCCACTCTTCTTATTCAGTGGTAATTATAAGTGAACCCAGGAAAGGAAAAGGGAACGAAAGGGAAATGCTGTTAGTCAGGTTTCTTTCCCAAGTCTTCGCAGTTTTACTTTGTGCTGTTCAAAAGATCTCCCCGTTCACTGGAAAATGACAGCGGGGGGGGGGGGGGGCGGGCGCAACCAAACCAAAACAAGGGGATGCGACTGCAGGGTGACCTAAGTTGTTGTTTTCCTGAGAAGTTAAGACCCTTGGAGACCCTGGGCTTCAAAGGAATGTATTCCAAGGAACTTCCCTTAAAAGCTGCACTTCGGAAGTCAATTACTGTAACCCGAAGGACTCACAAAGAAATAAGGCTAAGGAATGTATATGTGCTTGTATTTGGCTAGTTAGAAATACACTTATGCACACAATACAAAGTCCTTTCCTGAAGCTGCTTAGGGGAGTTTCTCAAAGAAGCAGCATAAATATTTGAGTTCAGGAGACAGCATTAATCCCAAATGCATGTCACCTTTGGTTTGTCTATTTAAAAATAAATTCAGTTGTGAGCTATTAAAAGTCGCCCCAATACTAACAAGAATTAGCTTCCATCCTACTCCTTTGTTCTCCTCCGGTTTTAATAAACTCTAGTGTCTTTTCACTGGAATTTCCAGCGATAGGTTGGTTAATTTACAGGAGAAGCCCCCCCCCCCCCCCCCACTTAAAAAAATGATTATACCAATTTATTTCGTCGGAGATTCAGACGAACACGAAAAAGAAAAGAAAAAGAAAAAAAAAGACTAAGCTGAAAGACAGAAATTTCCACACAAAAATTCCCTCTCTTCTCCCGGAGGAGGCGGGTTCCTTTGAGCCAAATCGATTCCCGGAATCGAAGTTCCCTGCTTGCTCCTTTCTCTTTGCGCTCCCGCCAGACTGCAGATCCAGTGCGGGCAACAAGAGCCTCGCAGATCCATCCAGAGAAAGGGAACAAGCCGGAGTTAGTTCCCCTGGAAGCTGATCCGGGCTAGCTCGAGCAATTATTTATCGGGGACGCAAATGGCTTTCGAGGTAGGACCGGGGTGGGGGTGGGGATACAAAGAGGCGCGACTTCCTCCCGGTTCCCACCTGAACTCGAAGGCGGTGGACTTGGCCCCCTCCCGCAATAACGGCAATCGGGATTCCCTCCCCCCTTTCTTTGATTTATTCCCCCAGCCAGCCGGGGGAAGCGCGCGAGTGCCGGCCCTCTCCTCGGCGCTTACCTTGGAACCGGTGGCCCAGATACCGGTATCTGTGGATGAGCCAAGGGTAGAAGGTGGACGGGTCCCTTTGCTGCGAGGCGAAGAGCGGGTGCGGCGAGGGCGAGGAAGGCAGCGGGTGGGCGGCCAAGGCGTGGGGCGGGGGCACGGGGTGGACCGGGACGGCGGCGGGATTCGGCGGGTGCGAGACCGCCTCGGCGAAGACCAAGTCCGGGTTGGAGTAGACTCCCCGCCCGCCCGAGTGGAAGCCGTTGAGGAAAGGATTCATGGGGCTGGAGTTGGCATAGCTGAGCGCCGCCGGCCGGATGGGATCCTCGGCGCGGGAGGCGGGCAAGGAAGGGCTGTCTTTGGCCACCAGAGATTCGATGGTGAAGCAGCGTTTCGGGGTCGGCTGGAACATCCTGGCGACGAGCAAACGCTCCTCCGGCTAGCCTGCCTGCCTGCCTGCCGCCGAAGCCGCCGCCGCCGCTTCTCCTCCTCGGGGTCCTGGCCCGCCTAGATCCAGAGTCCGGCCGCCGCCAGACGGCCGCCAGCGACGGCAACAGGAGGCAAACGGCTTGGCCGCATGAAGAAGCGAGCGCCCGAAAGGGAGACGCTCTCTGCAGCCGCTCCTCTCGGCTCCCGCGCTCCCTTCATCCACTAAGGGGGGGGAAAAGTTGCTGGGCGAAGTTGTGGCTTTTTTCCCCTTCTTCTTCTTCTTCTCCCACCCCCCACCCCTCTTTCTTCGCCCACCCCCCGCCCTCCCTCCCTCCCTCCCTCCTTCCCGCTCGCTCCCTCCTTCTTTCCTTCCTTCCTTCCTTCGCGCAGCGCCCGAGGCGGCCCCTTTTAAGTCCAGCGGCAATCCATGGCAGGCGAGCGATCGGGGTCCCTTTGCCCAAAGTGGCGCAAACGATTTGTTAGTTCATGAGCCTAATTAGCGCCGCGGATCACATCAACAGCTTCCTGTGAAGCCTGGTAAATGGCTTGATGATTGGTCGCTATTACTCGCCTTGAGGTTGAAGGGGGGAAAGACTCTTTAAAGTGCGTCAGAGGGGAGAGGCAAAACTTCTGGGCCACGCGATCCTGGAGGGATGGATCCGGGCCCGGACTGGAACGGACTCCTCCGCCTGCCTGCCTGCCTGCCTGGCCCGAGACGGAAGGGGGCGAGGAGGAGGAGGAGGAGGGAGAAAGCCGGCGCAAAAAAATAATAAGAAATCACCGGAGGAGCCAGGAAGAGAGGGACGCGGCGGCGGTCCCGCCAGGAGCCAGGTAGGAACTGGGGGGGGGGGGGGGGTCGGTTTCCCAGCTTGGGGGGGGGACGGGGGGGAGACGGGACGGGAGTGGCGGGGGAGCTGAAAAGAAGGGAGTCTCTCGTCGGGCTTTAAACCAAAACCAAACGCTTTCTCGAATCCTCTAACGCCGCGCTCCGGTGAGAAGGAAGAGCTGAGGTGTTTTTTTTGGGGGGGACGGGGACCCCTCTCCATCCTTTCTGGGGAAGGTGAGGTTCCGAAGATGGCTCGTGTTTGGGGGGGGGGGGAATGGGGCCGGTTCCCTTTTTCGAGCGTCTTCTTACGCCCCCCTCCCCCCCTTTGAAGGCTTCCCGCCCCCCGCTGCCCCGGGACCGCCCCCGGGACGGGGGGGGGGGGGAATCACTTTCTCTTTCGGGGACTTTTCCGGAACTCGTTTCGGGACCCTTCCACCCTTCCGTCCCGGGGGCAGGGGGCGGCGGAGAAAGAACTCGCCCACTGCCACCCCGCCTTCTCCGGCCGGCAGCAACTTCGGGGAGACTCTTAGAGAAGAGAGATTGGGGGGCGGGGGGCAGGAGGACACAAAGCTGAGCTTTGCGGTGAAGAGGCGGGCGCGTCATCCGGGGATTCCGGCTTCGTCCGGGTTTTCGAGCTTGCCGTGGCGTTCGGGGACGATTTTTTAGGCCCGAGTCCTCCTGCTCCCATTGGCTGCCGCGGTCGAATAGTTATGATCACATCCTTCCACTGCGGGCCGCTGCTTCGTGTTTATTGGTAGTTAAGGATCTATTATCTATTCATCAACCTCCTATTTTTCCCAATTACACCCTCCTAAACTGAAGTACCAGCAGGTATTTTTCACGTTCACCATTAATGATTAAAAAAAAAAAATCTGCGTCTTTTAAATCTATTGGGCGATGTGATTTATTTTCTGAAAGGCGACGAATTGTGTGTGAAGAAGCTTATTTCTGCGATGCAAGAAATCCTCTTTCAGAACGCCCTAATTTTATCCTGGTTCCCCCCCCCCCCCGTCCTGTTTTCTTCCCACCTAGAAGTAAATAACGCGAGATATTGTTTAAATTGATCCGCACATTCATATAATTGGATACTTATCTGCCTTTTTCACAACAACTCTCAATCAAACAAAACAAGGACAAGGGCTGCTGGGGGAAGCTAGGATGGCTACGATCTCTCTCGTGGGAAAGATAGTTAGAACTAGGATATAAATGCCTGGGAGTTCCCTTCAGACGGGGCATTTTGTGAGTGTCAAATACGAAGTGTACTTTTAAAAAAAAATCCATAGTCCACGTGCACTACTTTTATGTTTTCTTTTATTTGACATATACAAATAACATAAAATACAAACAAATGGAATATATAAGCGAATGCTGTTGAAATGAACACAATTATTAATATCATATATAATGACATAAAAGCCAAATATTTCCCGGTGGACTGTATGTGGGCGAAAGGGGAGAGCAAAGTAGAAACGCTTTCAGCGGTGTGCCTCCATGAAGAAGCTTATTGGAGTTCTTTAGTCTACTCGCATCGCCTACATTCTCCTCTCCTTCTTCCTCATATCCTGATTTATTGGGATAAATAAAGGACTATTTAATTCAGAGGAGGGTTAGAAAGAAAAAGGTTTGCGCCACAACTTGCTTTTTTACTTTGCGATTCTAAGCGTCTTTTCATTTTCCTGTAAGAGATTAATCTGTACTGCAAAACAATCCATCTCTCTCCCCTCCTTCGTTTCACACGACTAAATATTTTGGCAAGAGCCTTAGCAAAGGGTAGAACGAGGGAAGAGCGGTCTTGGAAAGATCATTTTGTATCTTTAGGCGAATATACTAACCACGCCAATCTGGAATTGAAGATTTCGGTTGATCCAATTATTTTGGATTTATTAGCAAAGGATCGAAGAGATCGCCATTTCTCTTGAAAAACGCGAAATCCACTCACTTCTGCAGGAGCACTTTTATCTCTGTCTAAGCGTGTATACAGAATACCAAATACTATGGTGATAATTTATTTTATCCTTGGTGCATAATGAAGGATAGATAATTCTCCCGAAATCAGCGGATTTGACAAGCTCGGACAGATTGGCGTACCCAACAGCTCTCTTTACAAGAGGCAGCTGTAGGCCAACGGATTCCGCCGTGGGATTGGAACAGGGGTGGGAAAGGGTTTTGATAAAAATAAGATTAAAAAGGCTTCAGGGACCACTTTACAGCCAAACCAAGTTTGGGTCTTAAAAGTTCCCAAATGGTAGTGGTGGTGGAGATGGAAGAAGTACAGCCACGCCAACTTGCTTCGAGAGTATCTCCAATTTTAAATTTCTGCCAAGAAAGAAAATCTCACTATCTAAATATCTCCAGTCCCGGAGATTTGAGCCCGCTTTACCGCGTTCTAGTGCTCAATCTCGGGCCTTTAGTGGGTTTCTGGAGAAGTTTCGGAATAGCGACTCCCGAAGTGAGAAGCCGGCTGGGCTGTTTGGCTTCCTTTTCTCGGTCCAGCTTTGAAGGGGAGCCCGTCCGAATGGTCTCGGCATGGCCTCCAAGAAGATCTCACCTGCCAAGGTCGTCCCGGCTCTCTTTCAAGCCGAAGTAGAACTGGAGCCCGGGTAAGCCCTTCCTTGCCCCGTCCCGCCGCCGACTTTGGACGGGCGGCGCAGAAAGCTGTTTGCCTTGCCGGAGGGTGCTGCAGAAGGGCCTCCTTTTTCTCCTGGGCTGGGAGTCCGGGGGAAAAACTCCTTGTGTGTGTGTGTGTTTCTACCTAGGCCAGAATAAGCATCCCGCTTATTCCACGCTTCCCAGGAGCTGCTGGACTGTCGAGAGGCCTTTCCAACAGAGGTTTGCGCTTTGTCGGGACGGGACAACTGTTTATTTTGAATGTGTGTGTGAGACAAGGGGGAGGGAGATTGTATTTCTATTTTTTTCCCCCTAGACCTTTTTATTCGGTGTCCTGAGTTCGGATCCCCTTCCCCGTGGATCCTGATGATCTGATCCCTTCTTCTCGGTCGCCCACCCATTATTTAAAGACCGGGTCAGATTCATCAACCCGGATTCTCCAACCATCGCGACCTCTAGAATCCCCGGGAAATAAGTCAGCCAGTATACACGCGGGCCCGCGGCGAAAAGTTCAGCCGTCCTGCTCTCCTAAGGCCTTCGCGGGCTCAGCGGATCTGGCCCGGGCTCACAAGGAAAGCTCCAGAGGGCGAGGAAGGAGGGAGGGAGGGCTGGCGGAGAGATAATTGTAAGTGACTTCCGTGCAGATTGAGCTCTATCTGAAGGCAGATTCGGATTCATTGTCCGCTAAGTTGAGCTGTTCTTGCTATCCCAAAGTAATTTTAGCAAGCCGTGCAGGCCCTGGGATAGGCCAGAGCTGGATCTGCTAAGGCAGAGGAAGGCTCAACCCTTTGGAGATGACAAGAGGTCGGTGGCCTCAAAAGCGCCTGTTTCTCCGGACCAGTCAGGTCAAGGGCGTTTATTCAGATGGCGTGAAGAAGCCGCCTCCCGTCCTAGCAGCAGCAGGGAAGAAGGACCGGATATTGGCCTGCGCTCTCCGTCGGATTTGTTCTCCGTAGCAGCTTCCCCCTCTATCGGAAAGAAGAGCGGCCTTGTCACCTAGCTTGCTTCGGATGCACCAAGAAATCGGCTTTTGTTGGGTGGGCGATGTTCGGGCTTAGCCTTTCCCCAGATAGTCTAAGTAAGGAGTCGCTCTTTCGAGAAGACGCGCGGGTCTCAGAGATCCAGTTGAAGAATTAGAGGGAAGTTCAGGATAAACGTGAACAGGGTCTGGCCCTGTTCCTCTGGCCAAGTGTATCCAGAGAGAAACTTTTGAGAATCGCCAAGCTGCCAACTTGCATGCAGTGCCCGTGAATCAATAGGAGTCGACCAAGCAGGCCCATCTTTCCTTTCCCCTAATCCGGTTGTCCCTCCTCTTCCTCTGCCAAGAGACCCCCAGGAGGATGCTGGTTTGAGCTGCAGTATTCCTCTCTCTGGCCCTATTTAAGGTCCCAAGCAGGCCAGCAATGTGGCGCTGGAAGTTTGGGAGCTGAAGGGAGATTCTCTGGATGGGTAGAACAACCTGGGGGTGTGCCTGGTTGTGTGTAGCACTGTCAGTGTGCGTGTGTGGTGGGAGAGACTCCCGAGGTTTGCTTGCTTAAGCTTCGGTATATAATTTCTGGCACTCCGCACCCCCCCCCCCCCCCCCCCCCCCCCCCCCCGCTTTGCTGAGGTCTGCAGGTCAGGGCGGACAACCTGACAGGGGGAATTAAGCATCAGGGAATGGGCCGTGCACCATAAAGGACTCTGGGATAGTCTCGGCAACATGACCTGAGTAGAAAGGACCCTAAAGAGCCCTGGCTGCAAATTAAAAACAAACAAACAAGATTGGCAAACAAAAGCAAAAGCAGAAATGGAGGGGGGACAGGACAGATGAGGGAGATCATTTCCGGAAGTTTGTGGATTTCCTCATGTCCTTTGGGGTAGAGGTTTGGATTTCAAAAGTTAGCCTCATGAGCTAAAAATACTCCTTGTTCCTGAAGCGGGCTAATGCCACACATTAGTTCAAGCACGGAGTCGGGCCCACTCGTCTTCATGCAGCTTGTTTACAGCAAAATAAGATGATCCCCTGATTAAGCTATCGAGATAATGACTTCCCCCCTTTTCAAAGCAACCTCAGTAAAACTGCCACAAAATATATCCTTGCCAGACTTGTCTGCATTTGGAAGGCGTTAAGAATCAAACTATTTTAATTAGAATCATATCAGCCTTAATGTTTTTCTGTTCTCTTTGTCACCCCATAAGACAACCGTATCCAGCCAAAAGGACAAAAAAAAGACACCCATAAGGACAAAAGTCCAACTGGCTAAACTGCAAACTCTTTAAGAATGTAATTAGCAATTTTTAAACCCTTCCTAGGATTACAAGTCTATCGATTGTTGTTTAGAGACCTCATCTGCTTCATTTATTAGATGCGTTTAAATCTGTTCTCTGAATTTTTTTGTGGTTTTCTCAGTGGGAT